ATGCTCAGCAAGGTGCAAATGGGGATTTGAACCCTGCTCTCTCTGGCCTAAACCCCGTCTCTAATCAGCACACTTCAGGGGTATTCTTTTGCTGCCTCCTGTTTTCCAGGCTTAGAAAATGGTCAGCAGCATGTATCATATTGGTGAAAGTAACATAGGGAATCTTCCGAGCTGTGGTTAGACTTGGAGGTATTTCACTCCGGATTTCCATCTTCTTTTGCACTCTCAAGTTTCTTTCAAGGATAGCTAATAACTCTCAGGATGATGTGTAGTAAAAACACAAAAACAGACCCAAATGCACATAAAAACAGAAGCAGCATAATCTAGCACTGATTCAACAGCAATAATCAATTAAAAGCAGCCGTGATTAAAAGAGGTGTCGCAAGACGTTCTATAGAGAGCAGATCAAACTACTGGAAAACACAGTACAGTAACAGAACTATATAGCTGATTAGGAGACCCGAGAAAAGCTGGCACCAAAAAGATGGCAAAGCAGGTGCCAGGTCGATCTCTGGGGTCAACCCACACCTTTGGGGATGCTTCTGAAAGTATCCACCTGTCCCGTCTCCGTGCAGGAGGGTCCTCTGAGCCAGCTCTCTCGCGGTGACCCCGCAGGTAGGGCTGCGTGTTCCTACACGTACGGTGTCCCGACTTGTGCTGAGTTTTGTCGTTCATTTAACGGGGTTCTAAAGCATTCTGAGAATGGTTCCTCCGGTTTTAAATTGCACCCAAACCCCTCCATGTGCCTCTTTTTTTCATATATAGTTGGAAACTTCCAGCAATGCACAGTGCAGTGAACTAAGTGGATTACCAAGTATGGGAGAGGGGGCTCCACAGAGGTCAGGTGCGTCTCTCAAGGCAGCGGAGCCGGTACTCTGGGGTGCGTAAAACTGTGATGCTGGCGACTCGAAATGTGAAATATGTTTCTATTTCAGTTGTTAAATTTCTAGTAAAAAACACAGGTCATACCCCGCCAAGCCAAATGTAGCTTCACAGGGTGGCCTGCCCATGGATCTGACACCAGGCACTCTCATTTTCTGTAGTTCTAGGCAAGCATTAAAATTTGGGAGGTGCTTTCAGCCCCTGGTAGGTCATAGATGGTGCGCAGCTGATTTGTAGTATTTTTTGTCGATGTGAAATAGAGGCATGCCATTCATGTTCCAGATGTGGAAATAAAAGGCCATGTCTTTCCATGCGACGGTGCCCATAACAATCGTTTTTGGGAGCTGTGCTACATTTCCAGAGGGGCTAGTTTGATGGAAACTCAAAATAGGAACTTCTTGGTGGTAGTGCTGAGATCGTGGAACACTCTCGTGAAGGCAGTGGCATTGGCTCCTTCCAGCTTTTGCTTTCGATAGGCAATAAGTACTGTTTGTTTGTTCGACTTTTCATGTTGTGGAATGTTTTTGTTTTTCCTTAAGTCTACTTGCTGCTCTTATTTATTTTTATTTTATTTTTTATTTATTAAAACATTTTTAATGTATCCTTATGTCTTTAAATGTTTTTCTTGTATGTTTCTTTTCTGGTAGGCAGATGGTGTGATTTATAAGCTTAATAAATACACTAACAAACGTAAATAAATGGATGTTGAATAGTCTAGACTTTTAAAAAACCCTGTAACTGGCATATATACTTCTGGGATGAGATTATGGAAACTGTGGGTTTGGTTTTGTTGGTTGTAGACTGTAGACCAGGACCCCATGTCAGTGTGATCAAGCCACAGCGAATGCTTGCAGATGCTTTTCTTCCACGGAAGTCACAAGCTTTCCATTGGAAGAGTCAGCTGAACATTCCTGTTTCCAGACAGCAAAGAGAATTGTGTAGGAGTGTGACTTAATATTTAATTATCTCTCTTTAATTGCAGAATATGGTGTCTGTGAGAACCTGCGGAAGCTGGAGATCACGGGAGTATCCTGTCGAGAAGTGTATGCCAAACGTAAGTGCCGAGCTCACGTTCCATTTATCAGGTGGATTCGCACCAAATCTTTAGCTTGAGTGACTCAGGATTCTGGAGCAGAGCTGCAGGTCAGCAGCCGTGACTAGCGTATCTGTGAAGCTGTAAGGAGCTTGGTTCGTTTAGCATGCCAGTGCACCCCAGAAATGTCAAGATTTGGAACAGATTTGCCTGTCTTTAAGCATACAGGCATACATGCGCCGCACGGTCCCTTCCTCTGTGATTAGTGGGCTTAGCAGCAGCCAGCTTCCCCCCCTCCCCACAACTCCTCTCACACAGCAATGTGCGAGTCTGATGATTCCGATAGGATTTTGAAAAGCCTCCAGGCTTTTGATGGACTTGGCACAGAGGTTAAACTGATACCCAGTTTCTGCCGAGTCGCTTCATGGGTGAGCTCTTGCTTTGCTGCTTCTTAATCTAGAGCACCACAGAGCAGACCCCCGCTGCCCCTGTAGCATTCTAAGGTGGAAAATGATGCGCGCGTGGTGGTCAGAGGGGGCTGCAAGAGGGGGACCGACTTTCTCATATGTGCTGTAATGTATCCGCTCAGGTATAAACCCACGAGTGAAGTCAGGGCGTTTTATGAAAATCCTTCCCGACTATGAGCACATGGAGTACAGAGATGTTTACACATGCCGTATGTACCTCTTCTCGGCCAATGCTTTCTGCACTGCGTGTGAGCATGGAGTGTGGCTGCCCGGCCTCCTGACTGCCGAAGCTTCTCTGGGCCGGTGGCAGGCTGAGCGCGTGTTTGGTAGCATCAGGTGCCAAGGCAGGGGCGTCCGCTAGACCTGAGAAGCGATTCTGGCACCCCAGCTCTGTGCAGGAATGTATACGGCTGCATCGCTTAGCAAGCAATGAGACTGCATTAGCTTTGGATATCTGCAGTGGGTGTACCAACGATGGCTGCATTTGATCGAGCTCCACTGTCCTGGACAGGCCCACACAACCAGATCAGCGAAAGACGAGGCAAATTTATTTATTTTTATTTATTTATTTATTACAACATTTCTATGCCGCCCCATTCGCCGAAGCCTCGGGGCGGCTCACAAGATAAAATTAAAATACAAAAAATAACAATATAAAATGTAAAATAAGTCGCCCTGGCCAGATAAAATCAGCAAATAATATTAACAATTAAAATGACGCTTAAATAAGATTTAGATGTAGAGAACGGGTAAGAGCCAGGAAGGCAGATGATGGGCAGTGTGGAACAAGGCACAGCAAGGGAAAGTTTAGGTTGCAGTTGCCCTCTCTTGCCGAATGACCCCGAGAATAAATATTGGCGGTTTAGTCTAGGTTTGTGTAACAGCAGCAGGCTGGGCCACAGTTTAACCAGCTTAGCCTTGCCTGTTGCACGAATGCAGTGCTAAAGAAAGCGGCACCCTCTCAGCCGGCCTTTCTCATGAAATTCGAGGTGGATGGGAGGTGTGCTCTTGTGCAAAGTCCATTCACTTTGCTGCAGCTTGCACAAGACCTCCTGGGGGTTTATGTCCTCCCCACCGCACTGACCACATTAACTGCAAAGGAACCCGTGAAAGTTGGGGTTCCTGGTGCACCATAGTGCTTGTCATTCAGTTGTGGTGAAGTTCAGAGGTGGAGTTTGCAGTCCCTGGCATCTCCAGTGGAAAAAGGGAATGGGTAGCCGCTGACGGGACTGGGACCCCGGAGGGCCTCTGCTGGAGGCGACATTGGGCAGGCTGAGCGAACAGTCAGAACTCCGTGCAAGGAATATATCGGTGAGGTTAATTTTCTCTCTCTCCAATAACTCGCCAGGGCAAATACAGGCTTCTGTGTTGACCGAGCAAGGGAAGTTCCATCTTTTGATCTGGCTAGTGAACGTCCCAAATGCTGGACACAAGCTTTTTGTGTTAGACCTTCAAGGAGTCCCAGATAAGAACAAAACGAGTGACAGTCGCAGAACTCGGGCCAGGGATTGTGGAGTGCAGTGAATCTCTGAGGGCAGCGTATGTAGGGCAGGGACAAGATCTGAACTGCGGACTTTCCGATTCAGAGCTCACAGCTCCCTTAGCCGCCGCGGGATAGCGCCTCCAGAGAGCATTGTTGGGCACGGTTGTTCTGCCCCTTTGCATGGAGGGGTAAAGTTGGCAGTAAGCTGGTGCTTCCAAGATGTACGCCTGCCTCTTTCTGCGGTGAAGTTTTACGGGGCACTTGGGCACTGGCGAGTGGCGTTTCCAGAGCCTTCGGTGAAGCTTTGCCTTCCTCTTTGACTGCAGAGCAGCGTGTATTCTGTGCAGACAGACAGAGGAATCAGATATGCAACAAACATGTGAAAGGTGGAATCTGTGATCCCGAGGAACTTGGCAATTCCAAATCTGAAAATTTATCTAAAATCTGAAACCCCAAAAAAGAGAAGCAACAGCAACTAGCTGTGAAATTGGGTAATGCCTACTAAAACATCAAGCAGTACCTGGAGTTTGGCTAAAACAGCCCATACTATATAGCAAATGCACACTCGCATCTCCTGGAACCCTTGAAGAAGCTGAGTGGAAGAAGAATGAATTCGCTCAGAGCAGCAGCGCTGGGGCAGGCAGCGTTCTTCCTTCGCCCAGCCAAGCTTCTCCACCCCACAGCACTTTGCCTCACCAGGGCTGGAGAAACGGAACCGGATTGACCTCCTTCCTGCCACAAGCAACAGGATTAGCAGCCGGGGGAGTCTTACTGCGGGAACAGCGTGGAGGAGAGAGTAAAACTCTCTCGCTCAGCAGCGCTGCCTGATCCAATTTCATTGTGCTTCCCAGTCTGTATTATCCCCCTAAGACTTCCATTAATCTTTGAGGGACGTCTTGACTACCCTGCAGTCTTTCTTCCTCTCCGTGATTAGTAGAAGCAGAATAAATTACACAAAATAAGCAACAGGGACGTGAAGTATTATTTTAATATACATAATTGCTGCAGGGCGCGGAGGGCTTAATGCTGAACACACAACGCTCTGCTTTCCTGCCCCTGGACACTCTTTGCTCGTCTTTGCGCCTGGGAATTTCACCTTCTTTGCATTGCGTTTCTCCTGCTTTTCCTTCTTTAGTACTCCACCGATACCGGCACATCTTGGGCCTCTGGCAACCAGATATTGGACCGTATGGGGGACTGCTGAACGTCGTGGTGAGTGCGGAAGCCCCCTGGTCATGGGGCTGGCAAGCGGGACGGAACGTGATGCCTGAAACCTGGGCTCCTCGGTGCATGTGGGGCTCTGTTTACTGGGCTTCCGCGAGAGCGGAAGTGGCTCGAAACTGTGTGTTTTCTCTTCGTGCTTCTAGTGATTAGCCAGAGGCTTCTCTGGGCATCGAGGAAGGGGCAGAAATGAAAGAGAACGGCTTGGCAGGTGATGCCTGCAGACGCGAAAAACGGGGAAGAGGAGAGGGCGTATTTTGGGCAGTAGGTGGGGAGGTGGCCTGGCCAAGAGGCCAGGCAGTGTGTTGGGCTTGGGTCCGCAGTCAAGCCAGTGGAGTTGGGGGCAGTCAGAACTGACCCACTGGATGCCATCCTCAGCTGCTCTCCTTGGAGGGGGCCCCACTGAAATGAATGGGAGCTGCCAGAGTTCTCTTCATTTTAAGGCCATTTGGGGAAGAGACTTTTGCCAGGGATTGTGCCCTGTGCGGCTGACCTGCTAGGAACAGGCCTTCTCCGGTGGCAGAACGCCTTCCCTTGGGCTGGAAAGGGGAGCGGTGGAGAGCAGGTCCGCCTCCGGCGGGGGTGGGGGAGGCATCTTTGGTGTCATGGACTCCCAGCCGGGGGTGTGGATCCTTGTTGGCTCCTTCCTGCCAGGCGAAGAGCTGCTGGCTTGAGGTCCTTTCCAGCTAATTAGTGTGAGGCTCCCTGCCTGCGCTCTGTGAGCAGCAAGCTGAAGGGCCGGGGGGCGGGGCGGCCTGTTTTGCTGGAAGAGCCGAGCATTTGAAAGTGCTCAGAAATGAGCTCCCTGGTGCCTGTGAGCAGCTGAGCAAGACGAGCCTTTCTGGGAGGCAATTAGGCAGCTGTGGCAGCGGGAAACCGGGAGCCTGGCCCAGAAGGCTTTGGGGCAGAGCCGCTCTCTTGGGGGAAGCTTCCCCGGGAAGGGAACCCGAGGCAAGCAAGCGGCCCGCGGCCCCTGACTCTCCGCACCTCTTGCCCTCCACTCAGGTGGATGGCCTGTTCATCATCGGCTGGATGTACCTGCCCCCCCACGACCCTCACGTGGACGACCCGATGAGATTCAAGCCCCTCTTCCGGATCCATCTGATGGAGAGGAAGAGTGCCACCGTGGAGTGCATGTACGGCCACAAAGGGCCCCACAGCGGGCATATCCAGGTGCGCCACCTGCCCTGCCTGCCTGCCTGCCCGCCCGGGTTCTGCCCGCGGGTTTTCCATAGCACGTCCTTCGAAGCCAGTGCGTGGCTCTGTGTTCGGGTGCGAGTGCGGGGCGTCTGACTCCTGCCCTTGCTTTGTCCATTCGTGCAGATCGTGAAGAAGGACGAGTTTTCGACCAAGTGCAACCAGACGGATCACCATCGGATGTCAGGGGGAAGGCAAGAGGTAAGCCCTGCCCCGGGGGGAGAGCCTCCGGCCTCGGGGCGGCACACGAATGTGGTAAATACATAGGAGGCCCGCGGAGAAGCTCAGCCTGCTGCCGGGGCTCTTCACGCAGCATTCCCTGAGCTGGGGCGCCCAGGTGTGTCGGGCCCACTCCCATCATTCCCAGCCAGCTGCTGCTGAAGCTCGAACGCTAAACTGAAGCAGAGGCCTCCCCAGACACCCACCCGGTCGTGAATCGCCACCACTTTCCTCCCCAAACAGCAACGCTTCTGCGGGCCTGAGCTGATCTCTTGAGGCTGCCTGAGTTTGCCCTCCCCGCATGCCGAAGGCCCCCCGCCGATTCGGCCTCCAGGCTTGGCACCTGCCCTGGCGCTTTACCACCATTCAGCCGGGAGGAGATCGTGAAAGGATGAAACTTTTGCTCTGGCCGAGATCCAAAGCATCGTGCAACTAATTTCACACTGTGCTTCCTTCCTCTTCCACGCAGCCCGAGCAAGCAGGTTTTGAAACGTGTTTGCAGGGAACGGGGGAGTCACCCAGAGAACAGAACTTTCTGTGTTCTGCATTGCTCCACCAACTGTTCGCAGCTGCTTTCAAAAGTGCGGGGTGGCGTGGGGGGTGTCGCATGCCGCTGCCCCTGAGAGCACTGGACACGGCTATTCAAGAAGGAACAGTGGCATAAAAGCTGTTCTGCCTTGCCCAGGAAACGTCTTGATATGAAAAATTGCAAAAGGCAGCGCAGGCCACCTTTAAAATGTTTCTTAGCATGTTATTTGCACTACCAACATTAGCAAACACACGAAAATGTGGCATTCATTACAGGTATTGCCAGATATGAATCAGCACTTGGGCTGTTTTCTCTTCTGAACCAACATGGCCTTCCGCAACCGGGTGTCTCCCAGATGTGTGGGACCACATTCCCCATCCTTCTTGGCCACCGGCAATGCTGGCTGGAACGGACGGGAGCCAGACATTGACAACATCTGGGGGGCACCAGGTTGAGCCAGGCTGGGCTGGCCGAGTTTAAGGGGGGGGGGGGGTGCATGGGCAAATTAGTCCCAGACATTGCTTTGAAAATGTTACTGTACATCTTAGCAAACACAAACACACTCTCTCCCTCCCTTGCTGGATCAGGCTCTGTGTCCTCCTCCTCTGCAGGGGGACTGAGTGTTCCAGTGTTTATTTTAATGCCCTGGTTTGCACACAAGAACGCCACCTGCTTTTTAAACCATGCCGTTGTTGCGAACAGAGTGAGAATAAGTTGAACGCACTCCTGCCCTCGAGTCATTCCTGTTGCGCACAGGAGGGGCTGAACAACCCGGGGGGCTCCACGGTTTGGCTGGGGTTTTGTGGGACAGACATCTCAGAGCTGGAGCCCAAGGCTGGTCTTCCCCAAGAAGCCAGAATTCCTCCTGCTCGCCCAGGAACTGGCTCTGCGTCTGAGAGGCTGTAAGTCTTTGTGATGGCCAGCTGCACGATAGATCGCGTGATCAGCCGTGAGCGGCGTGGGCATTCAGGTCTCACGTTGTGAATTGTGTTTCAAGATTCTCGCCCCGCCAGCCACCCCTCCTATCCCGTGCCCCAGAGCGCCGTCTTCCGCTACTCAGTGAAACAGGGAGGGTGTCCGCAGTCCAGCTGGAGAGCTGAATGTCAGCCGTGCCGGAAGACCGGACCTGAGGCTGGGGGTGCGAGAGTCCTCATTCCAGCTCATTGCCAGGCATGAGGGGTTAATGTCACATTCAGCAGCGCAGAGTTAACACTAAGGCGTTGCTGCCATGCTCCAGCGGGCAGAGGCCTGATGAAAGAGCCGCTGATTGTCAAGAGGTGGGTGGGGTGCGGGAACCGAGAAATCCTGTCACACGCTATCTGGAAAGATTGTTAAGATAAATTCGACTATCATTATCCTCAAAGGGTTCAGCACGTGCTATAGCACTAAAGCAGCAGCACGTTCTCTGCAGCAGATTCCTTGTTATGGCTCCGTCGAGGCTTAAATCTGAGCTTTGGAAAGGTTTGAAAGAGATGGTGGCTGAGATCACACACAGTGCTAAGCTCTTGTTTTAGTTGTTGAAAAGTGGATTGTTGTGGCAACAACCAGGTTAATAAACCATGTTAACCATGAACAAACAGGAAAAAAGAATCCATGGTTTGTTGCTATGAATTCTGGGTTGTTTGAACCATGGGTTGCCATTGTGTAAACCATGGATCATTCATGGGTTGTTTCTCCAGGCTACAGAGGGACAGGTTAGCATGGTTAAAAAAACAAACCTGATTACTCTATATGCCAATTCTAGCTGTACTGTAATGGTTTTTGGAGTATTGGAAGAGAGAAACAACCCAAGAATTCAGAAAATACATGGTGGCTTGTTCAGTCATCTGCTAGGCAAACCATGGGCAGGATAATAACCCATGGGTTAAATCATAGGTTGGGGTGTAGGTGAGAGAATCACTGGTTGTGTTTGCTAAGCAAAAGTTTATGATTTGTAACTTTGGCCGTGCACCACTTAGCAGAGAAGCAAAGAAGCTTCGGTTTATTTTTCTTCTTTCCAGCTTGTTTCTCTCCCACCAATTTTGCACCCTTCGGAGTGCCAGCTGCTCTTGCCAGGCACCTCTGAAGTGACACAAACAAGCCATGGTTTAAACAAATAAGTTTGTAAGCCAAGTACCAAGCATGCATTATGCTCCTGGTGTGTGGCTGGCTAACAAACCACGGCTTGATTGCCGAAATGGGTTTTACCGCAATGGCACACCATTGCATGCAAGCCCGCGAGCAGCACTACACAAAGGGTGAATTCACCCTGCCTTGGCTCAGTACATGGACCGATTCCAGGCCGGACTTCCTCCTGATAGAATTCTGGGAATTGCTGTCCGGGGTGGAGGCCGAGTCTTGTGCTGATAGTCTGGCAAATGGATGGACGGCGGGGCCTGTGGCCCCCTGTGCGGAGGGGCTTGGGCGTTCTTCAGCTCCTGTGAGAGGGATGGGCTCCGGGCAGCAGGCTCACTGCACTCGCTTCTCTCTTTCGGCGGCTTTTGCAGGAATTCCGGACGTGGCTGCGGGAGGAATGGGGGCGCACCCTGGAAGACATCTTCCATGAGCACATGCAGGAGCTCATCTTGATGAAGTTCATCTATACCAGTCAATACGAGTGAGGACGGCGCGGCTCCCACCCCACCCCTTTCAGAACGCTGATTTCCGCGTAGATTGGGCTAGCGCATGTTGTGGAAAGGCACTTCCCCGAGGACGAGCGATTCCAAAGGGAAGTGCCCCCCACGCCCGGCTCCTTCCTGGGGAGAGCTGGGAGGCCTCTGCAGCACCTGTTCTGTTCACAGACACGTAAGCAGCACTCCAGCAGAGGCAGAAGAGGCTCTCCCGGGAGGAGCCAAGCCCTCTCCCTCCTCAGGGTTCCCAGAGTGCGCTCGGCCAGCTCCCTGGGATGAGGCTCTCGCAAGCCTGCTTCCTCCCCTGCACCAGGGTTTGGGCCGGGCCGCCCAGGAGTTGCCCAGCGGTAACCTCCAGCCGCTCCAGTTGGCGGGGCCAGGGACTTGGGGAGCTGCGGTCTGGAAATCTCTGGAGAGCCGCAGGTCCTCCCACCCCTACCTGGAACTGAAGGGTTTGGGGTTCCCCAGGGTCTGCTGGAAATTTCAGCCCAGAATTGGACATTTCCCCCACTTTCCGCACGCTTAGCTCCCACCGGCTGCTCATTCCGCCTACGGAACAGGACCTGCCGGTGGGCAGAGAAGCGTGGGACCCAGTATGTGAGCTTGGCTCTTTGCAAAGTCCTGTCCCCAGAGCTGATTTCCAGAAGCCTTGCATTTATTTGGCAGCGGAGACGGGGGATGAAAGGTGTTGTGACAGTGAGGAGTGGAGCCAGCTGGGCCTGGGCCTAGGAAGTAATCCAAGGAGAGGGCCGGAGGGGTTGGGCAGTGTCCTAGACGCCAGTCGGCCACCCGCCAGAAGGCTCAGTTCTCCTCTGACTCCCAGATCCCACTCATGATGGGGAAGCTGCCCTCTGTAAGCGGGAAGGCCTAGAAAATGGCTCCCGTGGCACATTGTTTTGCAAGCTGAAAGCGGGACTTGGCCGGATTCCTTGGAACCGCCGGTGAGGGTGCACGAAGCGGGCCCGGCCCTGTCCGCCTTCGCTCAGCTGCGCCTGCATTATCTTTCAGCAACTGCTTGACCTACAGACGCATCTACCTCCCTCCACGGAGTCCCGACGATCTCATCGAGCCGGGCCTTTTCAAAGGAACCTACGGGAGCCACGGCCTGGAAATTGTCATGCTGAGCTTCCATGGGAAAAAGGCCAAAGGCACGAAGATCACGGTGAGCGCGTGTCACCTTGGCTTCGGGGCCACGGGCTGGGCACCGCCTTTCTCGGGAAGGAGATGGCGTGGGGCAGGGCAGCTTCCGCATGAGAAATACCCAGTCCTGGCCACCAGGAACCCGCTGTTCCGAAATGGCAGTAAAATGAGCCAGCTTCTGTGCACAGGGGCAGCTTGCTCAGGGGCGCCACGGCTCGTTTCGGCTGCCTGGCATCCCCAGGTGCGTTCAAGTCTTCTTGTGCAGAAGTGAGCGAAGAAGCACTGCAGGGAACCTGGCGTGGCTGGAGGAGGGCAGAGGCCGCAGCGAGTGGCCGATAGCAGGAAGCCCCGTCCTCCGGGCAGCAGTGCGCACACCCCAGGGTTCTCTGCATTGTTCCGAGCCAAGCTGTGCGTCCAAGTCGTGTTCCGGGGCTCCATGCCCAGCCGTGCGGCAAGAAAAGACTGTTCAAAGAGTGAATGAAGTGCACTGCTTTGTAGAGCGGTGGGTCAAAGGGAGCGGGCAGAGCTTACTGGCCGTGCAGCCAGCCAAGGCGAGGAGAGAATTCCCGGGTACCAGAAGTGGAAGAGGAGGCTGTGCCATGGTCGTTCAGAGCGGGTTTGGCGTATACCGGAGCATTCCCGAGGGAAGCGGCTGTGCTTGGCGCCGAACCTCTTTCCACTCGAGGGCCAAATTCCGTTTTAAAGATACTATTGGGAGCCGTGTTCTAGTTGTGGGTGCTGCCAAAACAAACACGCCTGCTGCTTTTAACGCAAACCTCTTACAGCCAAAGAGTAAACCTTGAGAGAGGCATCTTCAGCCGTCTAGTAAGGGAATACGTTGCACAAATGGCAGGAAACCACCCAGGGGGAGTGGAGAAGGGAGCAGGCCTCCATCTGCATGAAGCTAGAAGGCCAGATTTGGTCCCCAGGGCTGAGGTTCTCCGTCCTGGAATAGCAGAGGCTTTGGTGAGGAGGGCTGCGTTATTCAGTTAAAAGGCGCAACAGGGTAGAAGCGATAGGGAGGGTAGGAATTGGTGTTCTGGAGTAGTTCTTGGCTCTGGATGGAAGGTGTTTTGTACGGCGTCATTCCACTTTCTTTCCTGCCTCTCCCTAGGGTGACCCGAACATCCCGGCAGGCCAGCAGACAGTGGAGATCGACTTGGCACATCCCATCCAGCTGCCCGACATTGAAAACCTGAGCAACTTCAGCGAGCTGTCCCGCATCGTCCTCGAAGTGCAAGAGCAGGTCCGGCGGGAGCAGCAGCAACAGGAGGAAGGCCTGCAAGAGGAGCGGGGGCAGGAGGAGGCGCCCCAGCCGCAGCCGGGAGGCTCTCGCCCAGACGGGGGCCGAGAAGAAGGCCCTGCGGCTGAAGAGGGAGCGGCGGCCCAGGGCTTGAGGACGTCCCCGCGCCCATTCGTCCTGCCGGCCGGGATCGCGTCCCGGAACGAGGATTACCCGCGGAGCTGCAGAGCCTGGTAAACAGTGCGAGCAAATGGTTGTGCGCAAGGCGTGTTCCCAGACCACGCAGGACTCTCCCCGCCGATGCGCAGACGGCAAGGTGCCCGGCACGAGGGTCGCTCACTGCTCTTCTGCTCTGTCTCCCTTCCCAGCTTCTACGGGACGGGGCTCATCGCCGGCCACGGCTTCACCAGCCCCGAGCGGACGCCCGGCGTCTTCGTCCTGTTCGACGACCACCGCTTTGGCTTCATCTGGCTGGAGCTGCAGTCCTTCAGCCTCTACAGCCGCATCAAGGTCTCCTTCCAGAACGCGGAGGCTCGGTCCCGGGAGGCCTTCGACGACATGCTGAAGAACATTCAGCTGCTGACGTCATGATGGCGACCTCCCAGCAGCCGCGGGAGCCGAGACGGCGCTTCTCCTATCTTGCGGACAGGGCGCCCGCCCGGGGAGGGGGAGATCGCATGCACCTCTCCATAAGGCCTTTTTACCAAAACGTACTCACACGCTCCGTAGCGCACTAACCGTTCCGCCCCGTATGCCATGTATAGTTTGTAATATAGCTTCGTATCGTGGGAGGGCGGCCTGCCGGAGCGGCGGCAAGCATGCTGGTGCCCTCCCCTCCTCTCTTTCCCAGAAAGGGTGGTGCCCGAGGCAGCCGCCTCGCCGAGAGCGCAGGCGGGCGAGCGAGCGGCAGCGGAGGGCACGTGTGTTGCCTGCGCAACGCCGGCTGCCACTTGAGGCTCTCCCTCCGCCAGCCGGGGGTCCTCCGGGGTCTTCTTTTCTGGACAGGGCCTGTTCCCGCGGGAAAGCAAGAGCCATGGCTGCCTGTGAGAGCTGCTGGCCGTCACAAGAGTCAAGCGGGACCGTGCCCCCTTGAGCTTTCCTTGAGAGGTCACTGTGTGTGGAAACGCTGGCATGCCGTTGGGGTCCGTTCCCAAAGCCCCCCTTGCCTGTCCTTCGTGCCAGCAGCGCTAGTGGGCGGGCCGGGGGGGTGCTTGGCCAGCCGGTGCTGCTCGCTGCCCTTCTTCCCTTTCCTGCCTCTTGAGCTCCCGTGTGACCTGGGACGGAGCCTAGAATCCCCGCTGGCCACTGCTGCAGGGTTTTCTCAGGCGGTGACTTTTGCAAAGAATCGCGAGCATCCGTAGGACCATGACTGTTGGGGGGAAGTCCATTCGGCCGCATAATTAGCCCCCCCTCCCCTCCCCTGCCCTCCCCTCCCCTAACTAATCCACCATGTGTGCCTCTTGGACATAAGGACTCAACTCTGCCCCGCTCTAAATCAGCAGGGCTCTCCCCACCCCTCTTCCCATTTTCCTCCCCCCCACACCCCACAGACAGGCATACTAGACCCCCACAGTGGCCACTGAAGCAGGGGTCAAGGGCTGGAGTCCCACACAGGAGGCGGAAGGGCAGGGATGAGGCCTGAATGGGGGCTGAAGACCAGCTAGAATCCTTGAGGCCCGGTCAGTGGTGAAGAGGACGGTCTGTTTGTGCAGGCCGCCCGCAGGGTGATCGGCCTGCAGGTCGCCTGAATAGCCAGCCGGAGTGGCGTTGCCGCGGGCCTGTGTCGTGGCCTCCAGCTGCCATCGGGGCCAGGGGGCAGGTCGCAGCATCTGGAGGGCCGCTCTGGACACCCCTGCAGGTGATGGGTCTTCTCGGTAGGTTGCAAGGGGGTTTCAGGCTTCTGCCTTCCAGGGTTTGCTAGCTTAGTGGATTGTGTGGCTGGCTGGACAGCCAACAGGTCTGAGAGTGGGGGCCATGAGAGTGAGAGAAACCTCCTGCCCCCCCCCCCCGAACCAGGGTTCCCCATTGAGCCAGGCATTTGCCACGCTCCATCGCTGGGTGCTTCCAGACAAGGCTTTCATTGTGCCGTGGCCTTGCTGTACTGGCAGAGTTTTACCGGGCAGGGGACAGAGTTGGCCCTCCGTCATGTGTGACTCCCCTCTGTTTTCCCAGCACTTCCATCTTCCTTCCTTTTCTCCGTGCCGGGAAAAAACCCCTTTCAAGAGGAAAAGGCAGAACAGGTGTGCCATGTCTTTCAGCAGGGTAACATCGGGGCCCTGTGTGAAGAAGCGCCCTCAGGTGGGGGAGCCGGAGGGGCCGCATGTGCAAATCTTTTGCGGGAGCCAAACAACGGGCGATTCGGCTGTGGGCGCAGGAACATGGTTTGTCTGGCCAGCTGAGTTTCGGGAGCTTCGTGGCAGGAACGTGTCCAGTTCCACGCTAGCTTGCGCTCTGGTTGCCTCGCGCTGCTGGCTTGCTCATGCACATGACAGAATGTGGAAGGCGGGTTGTTGGTGGAGTGTGGACCTCGCCCAGCTAGTGCTATGAGAGGGCTGGGTCAGGCTGCCGCTTTTCTGTAATTCCTCACCCGGTGCCCCCCTTGCTTGCTAAACCACCCCGGAGCCTTAGAACGAGCCATGGGCTGCGGGAGGCCTGGAAGCCATGCCTGCCACCCCTTCTGGTGCATTCAGCCAACGTGCCAACCAGTGTGAGGTGAATGTAATCCTGGCGATGGAGCAGCACAGAGCCAGCATGCACGGCACGGGGAAAGGACGCCCTGGCATCTTTTCCCCCTCTGATCCTGCAAACCTGGTTTTCTTTGGAACTTTCTCAGACCTGTCCCCAGATGGAGCATTTATACAGCCTGGCTTCCTGTACGAACAGTTCGGTCGCGTGGGAGGAGCAAGGACCTCCGGCCTGCCGTTCCAAAGGGCAGGTAGTGGGAGCGTCTGCTGACCTTTCCTGTAAAGGTCGGCAGATTAACTTTCCTTGAGGCCATGGCCATGCCGAGCCTCCCAAGTGCCCCGCTGCCATTTTGCACCAGCTGGGACCAGCATCACGAGGGTCGGTCCTCTCAGATAACGTGCGGGTGCCAAGAGCGCGGCTGGCCCTCTTCTGACTGGCGAGCGAAGAGTCACAGAGCCACAGTCCTAAATGACGGCCATTCTCCTTATTTATTACCTGGGTTGATGATGCCATACCGACGATCACGATGCCAACCGTTAGGACAGGTTTCTGTAGCGTTAGTGCTGATTTGTGGCAGCATCTCTGAGCAGCACCACATGCGTGCTTGGTACTCGTCAGAGAAACAAGCAAAGCAGACAGGTCCCTGCCCTCAGGAGTCTACATGTCAACGGGGAAGGGAAAGGACATGCTCACGAGACCGCCATGAGGACTAAGCAGCAGACGCAAAGGCAGGCGCCTGTCCTGGGACGCTGTCCAGTTCTGGGGGATCCTGGCTCTTGCACTGGGCGCTCGGCCCGCGGCCCACCTCCTGTTGCATGTCCCTAGAGGTGCCGCCCCTCGCCCAGAATTCCTCCCCGACTGACCCTCCCGCCTTCTAGAGCAGTTCCCGCACTGAGGATTCTTCCCGCCCTCCTCTAGTCTGGCGCATGCTGGAGTCACCCGGATCAGCGTGTTCTGCCTCCAGTTTCAGGGTGGCGCTTCTCTCGTCCGAATTATGCAGCTTAACTGGTGGAGGGGTGGATGTTCCAGGGTGGGGGGAGGTCTGCCTGCCTCAGTTGGAGGGGCGAGCGGAGCAATACGCAGCAGCCTCCCATGTCTTTCCAGCTCTTTTCATCAATGGGAAGTTGTGCCTGACAGCTGCTCATCACGGGGGGTGGGGTGGAGGGCTGCCGCACTTTATTTCCTCGCCCTCCAAAGGTTGGATTCCAAAGTTTTGGGGGAGATGGGACAAGAAAGCCACAACTGTCAGTGTTGAGATTGCATTGCTTTCTGCGTGTCGGAAGAGTGAGCTTTTCCATCTTTCTTTTCCATCTGCTTACTGTTGCCCAAGCAGCCTTTTCCAATTTCACATAACAACAACAATAAAAGATTTTGTGAATTTGAGTCAGCTCGGGGAGCTCTGAATCTATGACCGAGGACGCTACCAGAGAGGCTGGTCGTCCGGGTCAGAAGCCTGGGCGCAGCGCCCCCTGGTGGCAAGCAGCGCAACTGCAAAGGCCTGCAGGAGCACACCTGGAGACACTGGGAGGATGGCCTCTGGATGCTAAGCGGGTGCAGCTGGGAGCGCAAGAAGGCCCTAGAAAGGCTCCCTGCTGACTACAGCCACGTGGCTTCGCTGTGGCTGCTGGTGCTCCTGCTTCCGGCTCGGTGCCGACCTGGCTGTTGCCTCTGGCCTGGCCACACCAGGTGGGGCACCTGACCTTTCCCTGCCCTCGCCTCTGGAACGGCCATCTCCTGCCAGGGCCAGGCTCTTGCTTGTTCCTGGGCGTGCCCTTGCTTTTAGACCTGCCACGCCTCGCTGCAGATCTGTCCTCGCTTGTGGTTCTGGCTTGTGGTTGGGTGCAGCTAAGACCTCCTTCCTTCCTGGCCTGGGTGCTGCGGCAGTCAGCCTGCAGCCAGCTTCCTGGACCTGACCTGGATGGTTCCTAGCACTGGTAAATCTGCTTCCGCAAGCTGGAAACAGGCTTATGATTGACTGCCTGCGCTATCCGGGGAAATGCCTGTTCTGCGCAGTCCCCATGCGTGCATGATGTACATCAGGGCTACTCCCATCTGTCCTGCCCCTCCAGCCCTGGAAAAAATGTGGTTTGAGCAGAGATGCTTCTGCTCTGTTCTTTGTATGCCACTGCATCGCCCCCAGCCCAGCTTCGCTCCCCTCTGGATCCTCTGCTTGCTTACATGGACGTAAATCACACGGTTGAGCTAGGCTTACTCCCCAATTAGTGTTCTCCGCCCCTCCCCCCCGTATCCAGAGGCCAGGCTGCATTGCTATTTACACGCAGCAGCTGCCCTTTTCCCTGGCTTCGGGCAGAAACAACACCGGGCGTTTGACCAACCCAATTTCCCCAACCCGCAGCAGGGGGCGCCCTCGCAGTGAGACGCGCTGCTTGCTCCTGCGCGCAGTTGGTCGCCTCCCAGCCATTAACGGAGGGGAGAGCAAAACTCAGGAACCGAAGCATTATTCCGGCCGTCCCCAGCTGGAGACTGTCTCCTGGCGTGCCGGGATTTTTCCTGCTCGGGTTCAGCAGGCTCCAAGATGGAGACCCGAGAAGCTGAGCCGGAAGAGCCATCCTGGCCATGTTAAATATTAGCATTCCTGGTGCTTACACAACCCACTAAAACGATCGCACGGTTACCCACGTAAGTTTACCACCCGCTTTTCTCTCCCTTTGTTTGCACTGTGGGCAGGGATAGGACTCACTTTTTTTTTTTTTAATTAAATTAGAGTCATATCCTTCCTTTTTCCCTCTTGCGAGGAATGGAAAGCAGCTTACTGCGCCCTGCTCTCCGTCTATCCTCACAACAGCCCGGTGAGGGAGGTCAGGCTGAGAGCCAGGGACGGGGCATGGTCACCCAGGGGCTGCCTGCCTGAGCCGAGAGTGGAGCCCCCCGAGCAGGGGGGCTCCACCTTTCCGCTTCCATAGCTTCACAAGGCAAGTCATCAACAGAATGTCGAAATGCAATGCCAGTATTCTTAAATTCTTAACACTTTCCAGCAGCATAAATTGAGCTCCTGGCTTTAAAAAGCACAGCTGCAGGTCCGTGCTTGCTAAGGGGCGGGTGGCGGAGGCGTTTTCCAAGGAATGCCCAGGCCAGGCCAAAGACCAGCCGAGAAATGACGCTTGGGGCGCCCTGCCCTGCCCTGCCCTGCCCTGCCCACGAACCGTGGCTTGTCCGCCTGAGCTGCTTGTGGTTACTCGGCCATGGCTTGATGGCACAGCTGAGTTCAGACAACGTGCCTGCCCTGGACTCTCGGGGAGGGACTGCCATACTGCCTGCGTGTTTGGTTTTAGCACGGCCCGTTTACAAAACCGGCGTTCTGGCGATAAGCTCATTTATACATGCGGCGCGATTTAAGAACAGAACTCCTGTTGAAAAAGCCGGCGACTTAAAAACGAAGCACGGCTTCGGCGGCGCTCTGAAGGGCACGGAGCGACGGCTCCCGGTCCACACGGCCAGGTCCCGTGAGCGGCCTCTACGCGCCGCCCGGAGGACTCGCCCCCGGCTGCGCCGCCGCAGGTGTGTGACTCCCGCCCGTGCGGAAGTTTCCCGGAGGAAGCGGAAGCGCCCCTCGCCGCCCGGGCGGGTCCAGGGGGCGCGGGGGCGGCTGGGGGTCGCAGCCGGGCGCACGCGGGAGTCCCGGCCGTGCGGGGGGCGCCCGGTTGGGGAGCGCCGCTGGGCCGCGCGGGGCGCCCCCCCGGCAGGGCTTCCCCGCCCCGCCCCCTCACGTGGCAGGCGGTGCGCCCTCCCCGGCCGCCGCTCCGAGCCTGCGCCCTGCCGCCGCCTCCGCGGGCCGGAGGAGGAGGAGGAGGAAGGGCCCGGGCCGCGCGCCGCCGCCGCCGCCGCCACGCCAGGTAAGCGGGCTCGCGCGGAGCTGTGCAGGGGCCGTGCCCTCGCCTGCGCCGCGCAGGGCGCCCCTGGGCATACGCAGAGTGCCCTTCCCCGCGCTCCCGGGCGCAGGAGCGCGCGGCGTGTGCGTCGAGCCCCCAAGTGCGCGGGTCCAGGCGGGGCCGCCCCTGTGCAGGCAGCCCGGCCTCGTCCTCGCTGGGGGGCCCGTGTCCCCTCGGGCTGGTTTCTCGAGCGAGCGCGGCCGACCGGCTTCGTGCTGCTCCTTTCATTTTTCATTCTGCCGTGCATTGGCCCGGCGTTTGGAAAGCAGTGCCTCTAAGCTCGTACAGAGTGCACTTGCTTATCTCTAAGCAGGGCCTTTGGAGCAGGGGCTGTAACGAATGTCGTCGCCCCGGAGAAGCCTGTTCAAAACCTTCGCTCGGGAACATCCGTTACAGAAACGTCCCCCAAATTAATTCTACTCCTTAGTCCTTCTTTCTTGGAGGATTAACTTTTCTTAGTGGGCAAGTTTCGGGCGCAACGGGTGGGGCTGCAGGCGGAGGGAGAGAGATGATGGTTGTGCAGGCGTGCAGAATGAATTGGCAGTTGTTAAAATAGCGTTCAACTGTAATAGCACTTTCCTTTCCGTGGGGAATAATTAAGCAAACTTGCAAGATGATACCTGAGAAGCAGGTATCTCCCAGAGCTTAACAAGGGCAGCAGGTCATGCTCAGTACTAGAAAGAGAGAGAGAATGTTTGGTTATTTCAGATATAATCCAGGTAGAAACTTGTGAGTGTCCTCCTTGAAATTCAGGGTGTAATCCTATTATTATTTATTGCATTTCTGTACCCCCTGTAGCTCAAGCTATCTGGGAGGTTTGCAACAAGGTATAAAAACAATAAAATAACATAAATGTTCTGCAACTCTCAGTATCCCCCAGCCTGCCATGGCCGCTTGGAATTGCTGAAAATTGTGTATCCGTTTTGCGGCCTACACACGAATGGAATTCATACTCTTAAACTTGTTTTTGTTTGTTACAATTCAGCTGCCCTATACTTGAAGTTCTCTGCCTGAGATACAAATGAATTTCATAGCAAACAAAATAAAAGCAACGAACACCGTGCCAGAAATAAGAAAAGCGAAACCCAGGCCTCTTCAGCTCACCCCTTTTCTCTCAGCTACCAAAGGACTGCGGTTTCCTGGCTCAACTAAAAGTGGAAATACTTCTTGTAAGTTTAGTTCCACTGCCTGGAATGGGAAGGGATGTAATTGGCATCGTCGCCAGCTGATGTGCACAGAATACGCGATACGGTGGAGGTGCAAAATATTTTATTGTGGCCCGGAAGTTAAGCAGGCAGTGCCAAACGGGGGCTTGGCTGTGAGGTGAGGAAGCTCGGCAAGTACGGAAGGGAGCCCACCCGTGCGCGTTCCGCTGCCACGTGACTCCGTTGACGACACCTGTTTCTAGGTGTGTCGGGAGCGTGTCCGAGCGAGCAGCGTCCCGGAGTTCCCTTCCAGCCTTGCGGCAGAAAGCTCTGTGCAACTCAAAGCCGACCGTGCTTGGTGCCCTGGTGAAGCAGTGCGAGGGCAGAGTCGTGCTGAGGGGAGGTCTCTCAGGGCCGGACTGGGGACCTGGGCAGGGGCAGGCGGTTGTCGGTGGAGCCCTTTCAGTCTGCAAGCGACCAGGGACTGGGCTGGGGGCTTATTTCCCAGCAGGGTTTGACATTCAAGCCCAGTAACGCTGGAGCAGCCCCAGGGCAAGACCCTGGGTGCCACGGAGGGCCCAGCCGGAGCCCAGACCTCAGCCGGACTGAGGATCTGTGGGCAGTTGTGCCCGGAAGACTGTGCAAACATGGTGGCCTCCAGACATGCAAAGCCAGCAGAGGCTTTCTCAGGAGGACTGGGAGCTGCCGTCGCTGCCACAGGGGCTTCCAACCGAGTGGGGTCGTGCCAGAGTACCACTAGAAGGGAGCTCAGCAGCCGGGGTGCCATCACCGGGAAGGCCTTGTTTCAGGGGCACCTGGCAGCACAGGCCCCCTGAGGCCCCAAAATGGTTGGTGCTGGGATGGTGGGCCTTCAAGGAGGCCACTTGGGGCTTGGGTCCTTGCGTGGGGGGTTCTGCTGAGGTTGGTGGGCCCATCTCCCCAGGGCTGACTCAGAATTTCACATGCAGCCGATCTTGGGTCTCTTCCTGCAGCCTGTTCTTCTCTGCTTGAAATGGGTTCCACCAGCTTGGAGGTGAAATTGTTCTCCTTCACCTTTCACTCCTGATTACTCCTAATAAGCACAGATCGCCTTTGATCCTGGCAAAATCCTTTATTTGCTGTGCCTTTGTTTGGCTTGGCTGGCAGAAGGGTTTGGGGAGGGGAAAAGGATCCTAGATTTGAGAAACGGGTGCTAATGTCTCTCTTTTATAACCAAGCAGGCACCTGCTTGAACTCAGGTTTGGCTTCAGCAGGCCAGTGGAGCCAGGTGAGCTATGACTCATGTTTCTGAAATGAGGAAGGGAAGACTCTGGGGGTGTTGCTGGAGGTTGGGTTAATCCCAGCAGTGAAGGAGTGGGGTGCCACGTTTCCCTGCAACAGAGGAAATACGGTTATGGGAACCCTTTAGCAGCAGGCTTGTGTCCTGTGGAGCAGCAGGGGCTTTATTGTGGGGTGTGAAGGGGGGCTCGGATGAGGACCCCCCCCGCCCTAACCAGAATAATATGAAGTGCTTCCCTGGGCATGGGAAGCTTTTTGCGTGGAGTAGAAAGGCAGACAGAAAAGCTGTCCCGAAGATGAAACATTCATTACTTTAAATCTGTATTAGCAGCAGATTGTTACTTTAGAGTAGATGCAGAGCTTGGGGGCTGATCTGGATCAGGTCCGTGAAGGTTTGGATGGGTTCTTCATTTTTACTCCCTCTCCTTCTCTGCTGGCCTTTCTCTAATTGCTTATTCAACACCAGGCCACACCAAAATATTTTGGATTCCAGTGGAGACAGCTTGCAGGTATATATGTTCGTGGGAAAATGGCAAAATTCCCTAGCCCCAGACCAGCTCAGAGAAGTCTGAGGAGTAGCCGCTGATGAGGTATTTCTGCTGATCCAAGAGTGCTCCTCTCATGCAGCTGGTGACCGGGGGGAGAGACTTCTGGGTGGCGGCACGCAGGTGCCTAAGGTGCTCCCTCCCCGTGGAGCCTTACCTGGTTCCTCTCAGTACCAGGTTTATTTGCCAGTGCATGATAACCTTTCAAAGCTATCAAGGCTTTGCTCTTTCGGGTTATTCCTGGCTGGTTTGTGGCTGTTGGATTCTACCTTTCACAGAAAAGTGTATCCTGTATGTAAGCTCTGCTAGGAATATTAGGTTTGGGAATGTATTATATTTTAATTGATATTTAATTTAATTAGTGTATTATATTTTAATTGGTGTTTTGTGAGACACTCCGAGGCTTCGGCGAATGGGGCGGCATAGAAATTTTCTAAATAAATAAATAATTAATGGGCTTTTCCAATATCATGCAGCAGTGAGTTCCACAGCCCATTCATTGCATGGCATCAGGGAAAATGCTTTTCTTTCGTTCAGTCATTAATCTTCTGCAGCATGTTTTCGTGGGGACATCAGCTACACGGGAATGTCATGCTCACCACCCTAAGCTTGGCAGCTTGGCTTGATCTGTGGGCGAGCCACCAGGGGCAAGATTGCCTGCTTGCTTTTTTGATTTAAGCAGCCAAAGGAGAGACTTTAAAATAACCTCGCCTAGTGTGAAGCAGTTGTTGGAGGGCAGGGAGAGAGAAAAGCTGTAAAATATAACCGTGCCATATTTTATG